CTTGCTAATCTTGTGTTCCACCTATCCTATACTAATGAATTTGTAGACAGCATGAAAGAGATGAAAAAAGGTCATGTCTCTTGATGCACCATCAGTGCTTCATTTTTTTCAGGAGTTCTTTTAAATGTCTGATGTCTTAAGGCTGATATTAGTCATTTGTAAAGTGAAAGCCATCTTGAAAAACTATCCACTAGCCATCCGAGAAAACTCACGAGTCTCTTAGCCAGTAACTCTGAATTTTGTAGAAAACATGAAATGAACAGGAAGGGTCTTTTTTTCCCAATAAAGAGAGAGAGCGAATCTGGGGGACAATCTAGGAAGTCAATATGCAAGGCCTTATCCAACTTTAAAGAAGTTCAGTGTAAAGAGTTGGATGAAATGTTAAAACAGCAGCGCAGTTTTTTTGCACCCTTTTTATTGTAGGAAAGGAAACACTGTGCCATGCTAGAATAGGGTACCACACAGATTCTGACACTGTGATCGCTGCTGAATCTAGGGGCAAAGACCTGCTAGGAATATTTGTTTGTAGGGTTTCTTACCCTTCCGCAGCAGTGGAGCTCTGTACCCTGTGCTGGTGACACTGCAATATTTTGTGCTGTCAATGAGAAGTACTGTAGTGAGTTTAAGAAACTGGAATTCTCTTCAAACTTATCCAGTTGCTCATATGAGAAGCACTGTGTGGGACAGAAGTGACACGCACTGAAAATTTTTGAATGGGGAGCAGAAAAGTACAGATGGAGAGTGGTGAGTACCTAGAGCATGAAATTGTTTCACTGGAGTATTTGAAATGAAAAAGCCACTAATGAAATATTCATCTGAATGATTAAATCTATCTTCAGCCATCAAAAGTAATTTACAGCCTTTTAAGATTTATTTCTGCATATATTGTCCCTGTGTGGTGGTGGGCATCACAAATATATTCTGTTTAATTGTTTCACGTACTCAATTCCAAGTCAAGAGCCTAATGCTCTGTATCACCAATGTATTAATTTACCTACCTTTCACCAGTTAATATACTGATTGTTCTCAGCACTTTCCTTGCACTTAACTTTTCTAATCAGTACTAGTAGACTTATTCTTTTCATTTTAGCAACTTTCTTGATAGTGTTTCTGAGAGCTCATCACTATGATCTATCCATATTCAGGCATGCAAATAATGTTTTTGAAAAGAAAACATGGGAATTAATCATCATCATCAATTTGCTTTCTATGTAAACTATTCTCAGTCTCTGGAAATGTTTTGTCTTATGAATGGTTACAGATATAGTCTGTCAGGTCAGCGTTTGGAATGTATCTTCAGTTTTCACCATGTGTAACTCATACACAAAACTCCCACAAGATTATTCATGTCAAAGAAATTGATTGTCTTCATATTTAAAGTCATTGTTGGGTCTGGAAGAAAAAACAAACAAACAAACAACAGCAACAAAAAACCGTAAGCACTTAAAAGCAGCTTGCTCTCTGAGTCTTCCCTTCGGGTCTTACTCCAACATAAAGATAGCAGTATAAATTCAGATCTACTGCTCTCCTCTGGTCTACCACGCTGCTCATATAAGTATATTGGGCTAGCCAAGTATGAATTCCCTTGGGTGAATTCGTACTGATGACTACTGATGATCTTCTTGTCCTTTATGTGCCTGGAAACAGTTTCCAGATTAGATGATTCAACTATAATTTTACAGCTCCTTCTTGTTGTTCTACAAGATCAGAGTGACATTTGACTTCCCTAGTTTTTATGCATTTCTCTCAATTGCCATAATTGATAAAAGATCAGTGAGAGTAGCCTCAGAATGACATCATCCAACCATCCCTCATCACATGTGGAAATCCCATCAGGGCCATGGACATAAGAATGCCCAGCTTGCTTAAAGATTCCCTGACCTGATCCTCTTCCATCAAGGGTACATACTCCTTTTGTCAGCTTTTCCTCCTGGTCTCTGGGACTCAGGATTCCTAAAAGCTGGTCTTGCTGGTAAAGACTGAGGCAAAGAACAGTTCTTTAGCTTTTTCCATGTCCTGTCTAACAAGGTCCTCTGTTTTACTCCAAAACCTGCCCACATTTTAAAGAAGATAATGAAATACAGGTTTCTTTTTCTTCCAGACATGAGTGCCAAGCACTGAACAGTGTAAAAGCAGCCAACCTTTTATGGCTAAGGTACAGGGGCTGTCACTTCTCAGAAAAGAAAGTGAAGAGAAAGAAAATAGCATTTGATAGTGATTTGGCTTCACCTCCAAAGAGGACAGTCTGATCTTAAAATATCACAATAAATTGCATATTTTCAAAAGTGATTGGTGACTCTTGAAAATGAATTTATCAGTTTTTGATTTCTAAAACCTTGCTGTTTTGCTGGATTTCATTTTTCAAAGGACAAGTGGCCAGTGTGTTCTCTAAACTGAGGGTTACTTGAGGCTCTGCAGGGTGAATGGCCTGAGCATGGGGCATCCACGTTCAGGGACTGCCTCTGGAAAATGCTGTCCATTATGGACTAAGCTGTATGGGAGCAGTGGGAGCAAGTGTTCAGATAATGGAAAACCAAATCATGTAAAATTATCACTATCTTACTGTCTCCGAACCCATTTATTTTATTTCATTTTCAATCTCAAACTGCATTAGTTTCCATATGGTAAATCCTTTGAGTTCTGCCACAGGACATATCAGATCTTAAAGGCTTAATTGTGCTTTCAATACACAGGTTGAAAGTGTCAGAAGATTGTTTTAGAGAAAGTGCTTGGGAACTGTGATCATGGACCAGAAGCTGGTCCCAGGCCAGTCTTGTATATCCCCAAGTGCAATATGGTTGGCAGGTCAAATCAGAACAGAATTTGAATTTACAGATTGTATGAAATATCACTGTATTTGTATGCCTAAGAGGCACAGCTTTCTGAGGAAACAACAGACATTTCCTCTGGCTGATTCCAACACATGTTCCATGTGTCCACTCAGCTTGGCTGTTGAGAATTGCTCTGGAAAATGTCAGTGTGTTTCTTGTGCAAAAAGGCTGCCACTTGGTTCCACCTGGCATCACAAAAACAAAAGTGCAAGCAAATTCTGATTTTCTTCAAGAGTTGTACCGCAAGGCAAAATATCAGTAATAGGGGAAAGTACAGTTCATTAACTTTTATTTCCACTTACGGACAGCTCAGTCTCTTGCTGTGTGTGTGAGCATGCTCTATCTCACAGAAATCATTTTACAGTAATAGGTGTCAACAACAGTATAGTGGAAAATCCATTAAATGACAAATTACATTAAAGTAACCTCATTCAGTTAAATGAATGTCTTCTACTTTCCTTGCATGTGCCATGAATGAGCAGTTACCCAAGATACCCATACTGTTATGGTAATATAGCTTATTTTAATAAGGGTTATTATGTCTTATTAATTATTATATAGCATATTTTTACAGTATACATGTAAAAATAATGTTTCCCTTTTGTAGTGGTCAGACTCTTCAGTAGTATGCTGCAGAGGTGTAGAAAATGAGAAGAAAATAACGCTTTGGAGCTTACTTGAATTGTATTTCTTAAATTGTTTATTTATTTGTTTATTTGTTTGCAGGACCTATTTAGCAGAACATGGTGCTCATTTTAGTTGCACATCAAGCTGTTCAAACTCAGCATTTCTGAAAATTGGATAACAACAATTTAGGACTGAACTCCATACCTCAGTAACCCAGAGCTTATTGCACTGTGAAGACTACTTCTGGTAGTAGGAAAGCTAGAAGACCCTTTCATCTATCTCAATATTCAGTTAGTACAGAAGTCAGCTTCCAGTTCAACACTGACTTTTGAGCTAGACAAACAGCTGTCTTACAGATATCCTACTTTTGCATGCCATGGCAGAGAGGTCCTTCTTTTTCACTGATAGCATCCTCATAGTAATGGATCTGTTTGGATAAAAGCATTCAGTGAGTCATGTCACCAGCTCATGGTCTGTACTGAATTTAGGCAATCAAGGAGCAAGCAAGGAGAAGCAACTAATACATTTGCTTTTTACTGTTATCCCTAAGTAACAAGCTTTGCTTTCCCTATGGGGACATCCCTATATCTCTAGTTGCTGTAATGTTCCTGTACTTGGAATCTGTACGTGTGGAAGTCTTTGCAATTAAAACTTAAAATACCACCCTCCGTGTTTCTTCCTGAGGTTTTCGTGCGCACATTCTCTAGAAAGCTTGCTGAAACATTGCATGTAAGTTAAAACAGGTGTTCTCAAAACCAGACCAGCTGAGGTGGTGTTGTCATGTTTCAAAGCATCTAGTGACAGCACCAGTTTTTGATGTTGCCATTCCTATCTTTCCTAGTGTCACTGGTTATGGTAGCCTGTGCCATGGCTTACCATCTGGTTTAGCTGTGTGGGATTGTATTGTGAACCACACCAGGAAATTGATACAGGTGAACAATGTTTTCAGACCGTTCCCTTCTAAGTTAGGACAGAGATGAGAGTGGGAAAGATTTTAATATGTATCTAAAAACTGTGTGCACTCAGCTGTTGTGCACTTCAGTAGTTCCCCACTGCTCAATAGCTGAGCTGTGCTGCACAGCTGAGTTGCCACAAATCGCCAGTCTAGAGGAGGAAAATGCAGACTAAACATCTCTCCATGCTTCCGGTTTTGTTGTACTTACATGCAGCTATTTGAAGTATTTAGAACTTGGTGGAAAAAATCTGACCAATTGCATTTAGATCAATAACCACTGCTAGGGCAGAGTTCATTAGATCCCATAGGTGTACTCTTCTTACCATAGACAAGCCTTTGCTTGCTAATATGACATGAATATGTGAAATTCTTGCATTCTCCAAGCCTGATTCCTCAGTGTTACATAGTAGCTATAGGATGTTTTCACTTGATTGCTTTGAGGATGGGTTATTTTTATTTATGCCTTGGGTTCCAAGGCCTGTTTCTGTCCCTTGAAAAAGCCATCGAATCCCACAGGCTGATCACGTGCAGCAGCATGTTGTTGCTCAGCCACCAGCTTCATGTTCTTTACTCTTCTCTTATTGCAGCAGTTCAGCTTTGTCTCCCTGCCCACGGATGTCCTGGAAATAGAAGTTAAAGACAAATTTGCCAAGAGCCGACCGATCATCAAGCGTTTCCTGGGAAAACTCTCCATGCCAGTTCAGCGCCTCTTGGAAAGACATGCCATAGGGTAATTTTGCTGCTCGTCCTTTGAGTTGTTTAGGGAGTGTGCTGCCAATTTGAAGCTCCGGTGATATGTCATTATAGTTACATGATGATGTTGTGTGGGCATTATTAAACTGAGAGTTGCCTGATGAACAATGTTAGTCTGTATTAGAATGCATAGCACTATGGGCCAACCAGTGATTTCTCTTTATAACCTTATCTGTTACATTTTGATATATGAGAACTGGCATTTAGGAAAGGTTTTGTGTGTATCCTGGTCACAAATCTGGAGAGTACAATATTTTCAATTTAAACATTGTTTTAGTGCTATCAACAGGCTATTTTCATGTTTCAGAGGATTAACTCTGGGCTAAAATCTTGCCAGATCTGTTCCTCCTCCCTTTAGACAGCAGAAATGCTGTAGAAATATACGTTGTAGCTGAGTCTTTCTGACCCTCCCCTGCTGCCAAGAAATATCCAGTTCAGATTAGCAGCCCTGCCCTGCTTCCCTATTATAAGAAGGTCCAGGGATGGTGTGTGCAGCAAAAGTAACATACTCCAACTTGAGATTGATGGATAGCATGCTGACAAAGCCAAAACATTTGCTCTGAACTTTAACGTTTAGACCTTCAGGAGCAGGGAGAGAAAGAATAAGCTACTGAATAGAGCGTAGAAGATGTGGTTGCCAGGAAGGCATTTCTGAAAATTGGATCTCAGTTTAGCTGAGCAGCAGGATGATGGGCTTGTTGGAAGTGTTTTTGAACAGCTGGTTCAAAACTGGCAGTGATACTGACAGCTGAATCTACCAGAAGGGACTAAACCACATCCATGATTCTCAAGTAGCAAAAATAGAGTGGCTTTTTAGAAACCAGATGGAAAAGAACAGCTTGGGGAAAGTAGAGCTTTGTAACTGATATCGTTGGCTTCCCTCAACGTGTCATCATCATCTGATTATATCTTCCTATTTTACTTCCTTATGGAAAACACTGTCTATCAAAGGACATGCTTTGCCAAGAGCAGTGCCTCCAGCCTATACCTAGATCTGGCTTAGTTTTGATACCACAGTAGCTTTTAAATCTCAGGCAAGCTCAATGAGAACCCACAAATTCAGAAAGACTATACATAAATCTTGACATTATCTCATTTATGTGATTTCCAATGCATGTGAAACTACTCTAGTAAATATATTTGGGCCCATCTGGGGACTATGTTTCTTTAAAAGATATATAAATATTACTATTCAGTGAACCCTCTGCACTTAACAAATGCTTTGCGAACATTGATTCGGCCTCATTTTGGGCAACTGGGAAGTTAATCTCTTCTGTAGTTTCATTCTGTTCTGAGGGGTGGATGAAGTATGGCAAAGGGAGGGACCTGCACAAGGACAGAGTGGAATCATTGATCAACCTTGTCAGGAAGGTGTTCTCCTGATATTTCAGCTTCATAGAGGTAAGAGGGGTGGAAAGAGATGAAGAGTAGTTGTTCAATCAGCTTACAAAGAGAAGGTGGTAAGTGGGGACTGATCTGTCCAGAATTTTGAAAGTAAGTACAGGAAAGCTGAATTTTATGCAAATGATGAAGGAAAAGAAATATGGAAATGTGAGATTCTACATAAGGGTAGATATGATGAGGTCAGCAAGGAAGTCTTGTTACGATAGCTGAAGTGGGAGTTGTTTGCTTCCCATGTTGATATTTCCATGCCCATGCTGCAGAGGTTCCATTTCCACCATTCTCTCTATATGTATACATATGTGCTTGTGTATCCCAGAAGCCTGTCTGAATCACTGACTCAACTGTTCCATTGCAATTGAAGACATTGTCCTCTCCTCTGCCATTTGTTCTTTTGTATGCAAGTCAACGTGCCCTCATGGCTGGGTTGAATAGACTGAAATTCATTACGTATTTTTGTAGGAGACAGCAGCTTTATCTATGGACAGTCGACATTTGGTAAGTTATAGTCTGTTGTGACAGAATTTGTTTTCTTTCAGGGACAGGGTTGTAAGCTACACTCTCGGTCGCAGGCTTCCTACAGATCATGTCAGTGGCCAGCTGCAGTTCCGATTTGAGATAACTTCTTCCATTCATCAAGGTAATTCTTAGTCTTAATGCACCCTTTTTCTAGCTCTTTTTCGGCTTTGCATTCATTCCTCCTCAGAAGTCTAGATTCTTTCCTGGCAGCTCTGAGACTTTAGGTGTAGTCATGAGCAAAGGAAAGTGCATGGAGTCTCCTGTCCACAGAATGCATCGTGAGTTGCAGTTTCTCCCCTACTTCTCTTCAGCTTACAGCTGCTACTGTGTCCTCCTGTTCTTGACTGCTTCATGTAGTCTTCCATGTCACCAGAGAGAAGAGGATGAAAAACTAAGGTCCCATCTGCTTCTCTATCATCTGTCCTGAGGTTGTGTTTAGTGGGCTATTATTTATAGAGTCATCAACATTTGAGCATTTTATGAGTAAAAGTGAATAATCCCGTAGTAAGGATGATTGAAGACTTCCTCGTTTTGACTATTGTTAATCCAAAAAAAAAAAGTAAAAGAAATTGTATTGTTCCCCTTCAGTCACGATGGTGTCAGTTTGAATCTTGGCTTTGTGTCAATAAATAATAATAAATAATAAATAATAAATAAATAATAAATAATAAATAATGCTCAGTGGCTTTTTTCTTCTCTAAAGTCATGCTGTCTCAGGTACTCTTTGTCAAGCCAAAAGCTGCATTAGTACTAGGAAATTGTGACATGCCCCTCACTGGAAAAACATGACTTCTTTCTTCTGACTGGTGGATGGGATCAAAAAGCCCAGGTTGTCTGGCATCTAGGAGGAAATCATATCAAAGAAAAAAATCCCGTATTTCAGGGGGTTGATTTGTTAAATTCTCTGTTGCAAAATCTTGTCAGCTTCTGCATGACAAGAAAAATGTAACTAAAGCATCAGAGAAAGTATCCTTGTCAATACCATGATACTCACCATGAGTAAGTCCTGTGATTGTTAAATCTACTGCACAAAGGCTGCCTAGCACAAAACCAGCCTTTTTTCAGTTAGCCACTCATTTCACTCTCTAATTTATGTTTTAATTTTCTCAGATTGCGGCGGATGCCTCTGTCCTCAGAGCCAAGCTTCTGGTTCAGTCAACATTTTGTGTTAAAAGAGTAAGTAATTTCTTTTCCTGTCTCATACAGATGATGAAGAGGTCTCCATTAGTGCAGATCCTGAGCCAGCTGACCTCCAGGAAAGCCCTGTGAACAACCCCACAGAGGAAAGCCTCGGTGAGCCTCCATGCATCAACACAGTGACCTCAGAAAATACAGTTCCAGAAGAGCTAAATGGATACAGTGTGAACAGTATTGATAGCCCAGGGGCTGTCAAGCCACCCAGGGAAGTCAACCAGAACAACATAAATGAAGAGCTAGCAGGAGATGAGGAGGTTGATGCCGTGCCAGTTCCTGAGCCCTTGGAATCCATCCGAGGAGAAGTGCTGCCTTCTTCAAATGTGACGGACCTCACGGAGCAGCTGGGTCTGCTGGCTTGCGTGTCTCCTTCTGAGACTGAAGTTAGGGAAAACAGCAAAGTCAATTCTGGTACTCAGAGAGATGATGGAGAATTGAACAGCACGGAAACTTTAGATGTCAATGAGGTGAGTGCAGATGTGTATGCTGACAAAGACCTAGAGAAGAGTCAGGAAGAAGGGGCTTCAGCTCAAGAGGAGGAAGACAGCAAGCTACAGCTGAGGACCACAGCAAAGAGGAAAACAAGGCCATGCTCCCTGCCTGTGTCTGAACTAGAGACAGTTATAGCTTCAGCTTGTGGTGAGCCAGAGACTCCTCGCACTCACTATATAAGAATCCACAACCTGCTCCACAGCCTACCCTCAGCACAGATGAGCAGCGATGGGGAAGAGGAGCAAGATGCTGGCAATGGCGGGGAGAACGATGAAGAGTCCACAGTCAAGGAGGTGTTGCAGAAGGAGACAGTCAGTGAGAGTGAGACCATGGCAGCAGAGCCTCCTCCAGAAAATGAGGCTGAAGAGAACTTCAGCCAGTGCACAATGCCTCCTGGGACCTTAGACGAGCAACTCTCTGACTTAAATGATGGGCTGGTGGATGGGGAAAACCCCAGGACAGGAAGCGAAAGCGAGTCAAGCTCCAGACCCAATGGTGACAACGAATGTGAGGCGTGCGACACCTCTTGCTACAGCCCCTCCTGCTACAGTACCTCCTGCTACAGCACTTCCTGCTACAGCACGTCCTGCTACAGCACCTCCTGCTATGACAGTAACAATCGCTTCTCCAGCCATACGCGCTTCTCCTCTGTTGACAGTGCAAAGATTTCTGAGAGCACGGTCTTCTCATCTCAGGATGATGAGGAGGAGGAGAATAGCGCTTTTGAATCCGTGCCAGACTCAGTACAGAGCCCTGAGCTGGACAGGGAGCAAGTGGATGGCTCCTCCCAGTGGCCAGATGAACTAGTAGCTCATGGTGGGAATCCACAACTAGCCACAGAAAGTCTAGACACCCCAATAGCAGGTCCAAGCAGCAGAAGAGAAGGTTAGATCCTGAGAATCAGTGCGCTGAGCAGCCCTGATTATCTGGATGTCACAGAAGGCATCAGATAATCAAGGTTTCAGATAGCTCATGGCTTATTTCATAAAAACTTGGGGTCTCTGAGTTGGGTGATATTTTAGGGAGGGTTGGATAATTGAGCCTGTCTTTATATATTCCAGCATATACAGATGGGAGATCTGTATATATGGATTCCTGTAGATATACATGCATCATTATAAAATCAAGATTAGCTGAAGTTATGTGGCAGACCAGCATTATCACATCCACCAACCAATTCCTTATTTCTTGGGATTGTTTCATTTCACATATCTGATGTACTGCCATGTCTCTGCTAGACAGTGAGAGGACCAGCTTGTGCTCGTCAAGGAGCAGACATGCTGATTTACTTCAGCGAAGGATCTGGGCCAGTGTCTGTGTATGATATACACCGTCATGTATGTGGAGAAAAGCAAATGTTTCGAAGTTAGAAATGAAACAAAACCTGTTTAGTTAAATTTCCCAATAATTTTTTTTGTTTTCAAACAAATCTACATCAAATTTCGCAGACCATAGGGCAACTCAGAATGCTTTTTTTTCTGAGACTGAGCTATATCCAACAAAATTCTTGTCTTATCTTTCTCTAGAGATAAAATATAATTTAAAAAATCACTTCTGTCTTCACAACGTAGATATTCTTTTTCCCAATCTTTCCAAACCTCAACATTAAATATACACCTTTGGTAAGTTGTTTTACGTAATATGGAGTTACATGAAGGGTGGATTTGGTTACTCATCTTTGGTTCACTTATCATTTTTCTCAGGTTGAGAAGTGAAGGCCTCAGCGGCTGCTATGGTCAAGGGTAGAATTTGCATTCCCACATCCTGAGTCAGCTGTCCCCTGGTATAAGTGACACCAAATGTAAACAGCACTGAGAGAATAACATAATTGGCGATCACTAGGAAACTCCAGCTAAAGCATCCTTGTGCCTTTTCATTGTCCATTCCCACTTCATTTACCCCGATCTTTCACTGCTCTTGCTGAAGGAATGGTGTAAGGGGACTGTTAAACCCTTGGTTCTAACCCTAACAATTCTCAGAAGTACAGAGAGAGATAGAAATCCTCAGCAAGGTGGAACTTCCTTGCAGGTGAGGGACTTTGTATACCCAGGAGGGCATGAGTGTGTGTGTGCATGAGACTATTCTTACAGAATTGATGGTTGCTTTGGACCATGTGCACTTCTGAGAGCGGCTTTGGGGAGAGGATGTCTTCTGCATATGGACTCAGTATGGCTACAGAATTTGTCTCTCAAGTCTATATAAAGCTCAGCAACTTTGTTTTGGCTGCCTGAAAGAGAGAATGTCTGAAAGGCAGCCCTGCCCTTAGCACTCTTTTGGTATGACCAGGGGGTACTTCAGTAAATGTGCATGCTGATCCATGGTTTGGTGGCTGCTACAAATGCAGTAGATGTGGTCACCTCCATCCACTCCAGGTGACTGACACTACCATGATTCCACTGGCGTAACTGCCATGACTAGGGGAGAGTCAATTATGGTAAGTAAAGAAACATAGACAGATGTTCTGGTAAATTGTGCCACAGCACCTGTAGAAACAGCACAGACTTTAAGCCTGTGAAAGACAGACTTTTAGCACTGAGTAATAACTTAGATAACTCTGCTGTCTGTTCAGAACACACAGCAGATATGACCGTTAGATATGCCTATGCACAAGAGTTTTAATGGGGAAATTTAAGATGCCATAGAGGGAGTACTTTTGACAAGTCTTTTTTCTCACTTCTGGATGGTGTGAGATTTTTTTCAGCTTTATACAAAATTAGTTTCTGCCTTGTAGCTGTTGTTTGTGTATGCTTATTTTTAGGCATTTTTTTATATATTTGGTAGCAGTATGTTATTTTTTACAAATTGTTCTTTCTTGGGGCATTAAGATAACACTGTTAAAGACAGCTAAACCGACCAGTACACAGTTTGGTTCAGATGATTGATTTTAATTTTATCCTGGTATAATCTTGGTTTCTAAGGTTTTAAGAACAGAATGAGAAGGAATCTGAATTCTTTTTATCTTGCAGTTTCCTCATTCTCATAGTTAAGTCTAAGATGAGGAATAGTTTTTCTTCCTTACAATGAACTTCTTCATATCTTAAAGGATTCTATAAAAAATATCTGCATCTGAAGTTAACTTTTGAAGTTCCTCTCAAAAGAACATGAGTTCGGACATTTACTTAGATTTCACTTATTTCATATGCAGATAAGTAAGCATACATACAGCATTACTGTTTTCTAAAAACTACCGTTGCACTGTCCACTGTGTTTCAGTTTTCCTTCTTTTCTTCTTCTGTATCTCAGGTCTTCTCTCTTTACCTCAGGTCCTGACTACGTTTCACTATCTTTTGTCCTCTTCTACCACCTGTCTCCTATTTGTTTCTGGTCCTTATCTCATTCTCTGTCCTCCCTCCCAAGACCAACACTTTGAATTTTGAAAAATATCTGTAGAAGGAAGTGCTCTTCTGCTTTACAGGGACTGCATAATTCTGCCACTCCAACCTATTTATACAGTTGCTGATCCTTTAGAAAAGCAGAGGAAGATTCAAGGCAGATTTTAGCCTCATATTTTGCTGGTGAGAAAAGTTGGAGCCAGGATTTTGCATGTTCCTGTCCAATTTCTGCAGAAGCTTGAGCTGTACTATATTTCTCAGAGATCAAGCCTGATTCTTCTCTCGCTTACACTTGTGTGTGTCTATGAGTCCAGAATCTGGCCCATAATAGATTAGCATTGGCTCAAACCTGAGACCGGAGCCCTGACTGCATTATTTTCCTAATTCTTTGGTGTGTGAATTGTTATTAAAATAGTGCCTGGGAATAGGAATAACTAGAGCTGCAAGTATACCAGGAAAACCTCTGTGACAAATAATCACTTGTTTTACAGTAGCACGTTTTTTGAACCATGTTGTGAAAACAGTGAATGACTGTCAATATCTTGAATATCTTGTCCATAGGTGATTGTCCTTTACTCCATAATTCTCAGCCAGTCAGCCAGCTTCCTTCTCTGAGGCCTGACCATCATCACTACCCAACTATCGATGAGCCTCTTCCACCAAGTAAGCTTTAGCATTTTTTAACTTATTACGTTTTTTCAGCCTTTCCTGTTAATTCAAACAGTGTAGAGGTCAGTATGTCTTTCTATATAACCCCATCTGTTCTGTACATACTTTCTCCAGAATCCAAGCAATATGGTCTTTTGTTTCCCGTGTTTGACCCTGACTTCAAGTGTTGTCATGTTATTTTGGACAAACTCTATAACATCCCTTTGCCTTGATCCATCCTCTTCTTTGCCTACCTTGAAATGAAAATTGTAATTGAAAACCTTGTTCCAGTCAATATTGTGAGATTGGAATGAACAGGTATCTGTCAGGTGTGCTGGAAGCCTTACAAAAAGCTTTTGGTTTATCAGCAAATACTGAGTTTTTGTTGTTTTTTTTTTTTTAAAGTTTGTCTTCAGGTTTTTCTGTAACCCAATTCAAACATAGCTTGGGATGCACTCCCTGTGCTCAGTCAGCCCAGCTTTCAGGTCCAGCACAACTTTTGCTCAGTCAGGATGCACCAGGAACAAATAGTAGGTCCAAATGATTCTGTGAAAGGCAGCTCACGCACGGTGATCCGATCACGCTGCTTTTTGATTTGGTGATCAACTTAATGTTCTGCTCATTGTGGAAGGAATGACATCTACAGTTGGGATGAATAAAAATCAGAGATTTTTAAGTAGAGTAGCCAACTAGCAGGCTGACAATATGGGACTGTTACCACTGTGTCTACTGCTGAAGGTGTTTTCACTTGTCTTAGTACTTTTTCCCTTGTGTACCTGGAGGATTACTCTGCTTTTTACATCAGCTCTAACTGCCCAGCAGAGTGCAGTCTATGCCCTGCGATGTGCTGCGAATCAACTTGCAACTTCAGCACGTGATTTACAGCCCCAAGCGTGCAGTGCCTCAGAAAAACAACCAGGCACGTAAACAAAGCACTCTGTTTTCTTCACAGCCTGAGGAGGGAACTTGTCCTGTGGTGCCCTTGAAAATAATTCATCATTTGCCAGCCACGCTGTCAGTATTCAGTAAGCTGAGTATAGTCCTGATGCTGGCGTCAGCTGCACAGTGGCATGAATGATTCAAATGCCTTTAGCCCAATGAAGTCTTATTAGAGTCCCACTGTGGCTTGCCAGTGAATGATGAAATAGGGAATGGTTACCTCTGTAACAGGAAAATACTTTTCTTCCTCCCACTCTTACCTCAGTGGTTTGTGAATAGGGCACATTCCCAATTAGATGACTTAATGATAGGACACTGACCCCACCTCAGGTAAACAAAATGTACTGTGAATCCATGTCCCATATTCATCCATCACCAATTCAATACGCTTTTCCTCTTTCTTGTAATTATCCTTAAAAGGCAAGTATTTTTACAATTGATTTTCATGAGTGCTTTCACAACAAAGGTTAAATATATGAAAAGCAGTGTATGGCAACATAGTTTAGAAGTGATATCCCTTTGTAGGATTTTATTGTGTCATCTGCTTATAACATCATTTTACCAGTAAAGGCTTGAGACTGTATAAAGGCTTTGAGACCTAAGTATATTGACTTTAATGGGAATAGACTCTACTAAGCTAATTTTATGGGGAGAAAAAAGTTGAATTAGATAATATTACCTAAGAAGGCAGTGCTAAGTGCCCTTAGTGAGATTTCAAAATTGTTTCAAAAGGAAAGCTATAGTCTTATTCTACAAATATTTCTTTTTCTAGTATCCAGTATCACTGTTTCAGTGCTTTTAATGCCTCTTAATCACAATTAACTTATTCTTGAATGGAAATGAAAGGAAAAAACTTTGTATTTTAAGCATGTTATGTGTACAAGCCTGGCTTGCTTACCTGTAACGTTAACCTCTTCACATTGTTGAAGATAATGTTGTCAGAGCTGCAAAATCATTGCTGACTGGTTTTACATTGGCTGTGGATAACTCTATGGTCAGTCCTTTTTCTCTTTGGAATAGTTTTCTGAATAACTTCATTTCATCAGAACTGCACAACTATTGATACTGGGGAGGAAATTTTGTTTCAGACAGCTTTGTTTAGGAAAGTAAGCTAGACCAGATTCATTGTTTATTTAGGAGTGTCATAGTTACCAGCTCAAATGTTAAAGCCTATATGAGATTGACAGGAGATCTGCAGAGCTTTTATTGCCTTCTGATGGCATTAATGCTCGCCCCTTATTATGCATGTGTTTTCTAGTACTGCTACATGCCCTACAGAACTGGAGCCAAGAAAAATGTATTTGCCCTGTTCAGCGCTCCTCTGTGCAAAAGGTGTGTCTGAGCTTGGAAAGGGAAAAACAGCATTTTTACTTTGCCACTCCAGGATTATGGGCTTGCCAGAAGAGGTTTCATCTTCTGGTATAAATCAGAGCAGTTTCAGATGCTGTTGCAAAATATGACTCATCTGATGGCGGGGGATCACTAGAAAACAAACAAGTACTGACCCATCTCCACTCTCTGCTTAAGTGTGCTACTTCTGTGAAGGTTAGATTAAGGTTAGTCTCTGTTGTAGTCACAGTTTTATTTTGCCTGAAAAAGTAACAAAAGGGCCTGACGAGAATTGGCTGCTTCCTAGATTACCTGTGCCCCTGAGGTAACATGAAGAGACTTGTGCATAGCCCAAAACCTGAGTCCTGTCTGTTGGTTCACCTGTCAGCCTGTTCATCTCTCTGTGCAGGTATCTATCCATCTGTCCACAAATCTGGTATTGTATGCAGCTTCAATGACTTGTATGACTTACTGGTTGTCTTGTGGGAAGGCAGAAAGTGCACCTGACATCTTTGTGCAACCAAAGTACCAGCGCCTTCCACCCTTCGACAGACTTCCCAGGTGATGAGAAGAATAGCTCTTCAGCTTATTTTAAAAGCTGTTGCAAGATCAGTACTTATCTAGGACCACTGCGGAAGTCCCAAAGGCCATGTGGCACTGTATGGCTATGTGGCACTTAATATTATATGACTGCCACTGTCAGCATGTGGTTTCAGGTGCATAGACACATTCAGCAGTGAATAAAGCAGTGCTCACAGTTAGATAGAGGTAGTTCATGGCTATACATAATACTGCAGGATGTCTGATGCATCCTGCAGAGATGGCCATCCTGAAACTACAATCCAGTCTGCACAGTTCTGACCTGAAATTTTCACTGTAACTTTCAAGCTCTGAAGTTTTGTTACTCTTGGATTTCTAAGGATTGTACTTAGAAGCTTAGGAACTCTGAATTACATTTAATTAGAGATGCACTGCAAGATAGGCTCTGGAACCAGTAATGCACAGGGCTGGATTATGAGAAACTCAAGGTTTACATTGTAAGTGGGTAATTTTATTCTTAGTAAGTGTCTATCAGCAGGCTCTGGATCAATATTGATGTCTTCTACATAGACTGATAAGAGTGTGGCATTACCTATGAATCCCTAATTATCCATTGAGATTTATTGTTCTAATCTTGCACTGTAGTGTGAAGTAATGACTAGGACAGCAAGAACTTCTTAGTGTTTTTAAGGTACAACATGTCATCTTTGATCTGGCCAAGATAATTTCCTTGTGCAGGATGTTGCAGATAGTGCGTGGCTCCAGAGCAGCCATGGTGGTACACCCACCACTAGTGACAGCATGCGTGGTAAGGCTTTGGCCTTCAACCTGCCCTGTCAAGTCTGATTTCATTCAGTGTGCATCTGTTGTGCTTGATGTGCTCTTTTTCACCGTTTGGTTTAGACACTGTTTTCATGAAGCTATGTTCTTGTTCTTGATACAGCTACAACATCCTTGAGAAAACCTTACCCAGTTGGATAACCAGAGAGCCCTCCCCTTAAAATTATGTGATGTTCACAGACTGTATGTATGTACATGTGCTGTTAGCATAGTTTTTGCACCTATAATTACCGAAGTACTTACACAGACAAGTCTAAAAGAAATAATGCATGTGTATGAGGCTCTTGCTGTTTCAAAGTCTCACAGAAAATCTCTCTGAGGACTCTTGGTGTCCTTTTCCTGGAACTAACGTGCCACGGGCTACCAGCCACAGACTTAAGACAGCCTACACTAGGATAGGATCAGTCCAGATATGGGAGCTGAGTTTAGCCATAGCTGTTATTCTGGAGAGGGAAACTGTGAAGAATGGGTTTCCAGACACATCATGGAAAGATACAGCTTCAGTTCTACTCACAGAAGTAGTAGCAGATAAGATGTAAAGAATGAAGTCCATCTGAACCTGAATTTGGTCGTAGGAAAACATGGAAGGAATGGTCTCTCCAGTTAGAGTAGTCGTAGTGAGAGTATGGGAATAACAAATAGTTTTACCCCCCAAAGGTAATTACCATATGTGCATTTGTGTGTGAATATGAGTGAGGTTTGTATATAAACACATGTAGAAAGTATGTGTTTATACATAGAAATGTCATCAGCTCATGGACCATGTAGAAATATGAAGCTAGCAAGTCAAATTTGTATCACAACTCCATACATTCCAAGCAATCCAGTGTGGAGCTTTGTTAAGTAATTCACTTCTGAATTTCCCCTGCACAACCCTTTTTTCTAATCAATATTACCATTTTCCACAAACCATCAGAACATTTAGTTGTCAAGCCTGGGATAACTTAAACATTAAAAGGAGACAGTGATTGAAGGCTCAATATTATTCTTCAAACTTTCAGTCAAGTTGGCATTCATCAGAGCACTAGGTTTATGAAAATCATTTGTGTATATCTACAGAGATTTGTACGGATATGTCCAATCAGGCTGTGATCAGTTTTCAGGGGAGCCAATAATTGTTGTAAGAAACATGTGTAACCATGTTTACTGTGAAACATAACAAAGCAGAAAACATGGGTTTGCCGCATTAACTCAGATTTAATCCTTTGCTAAGTGTCAGCTCTTTGTGGCTGCCCTGACCTGTAATGAATCCAGCCAGCTATTAGTAGTAATTGTAAAATTATCCAGCCTTTTAAAACATGTGTTTTTGTAGTCTATGATGGTGAATTCCATAGGCTACCTATGTACTGTGTGTGAAATATTTATGTATATGCATATACGATATATGCATATAGAGAAACACATAATATATATATGCATTTGAATATATATGTTGAATATATATACATATATTGCACGCATATAGGCATGTATATAGTATCTATCGTGTATGCGTATCTTCTCTCTGTGAATATATATGTGTGTGTTTTTGTATCCCCCCACATAACTTTTTGGAAGACATCATGCTGACAGCATGTTCCCTTCCTTTTCTTCCAACCCCAGATTGGGAAGCTCGGATAGACAGCCACGGGAGGGTGTTCTACGTTGACCATGTCAACCGAACTACCACATGGCAGCGCCCCACAGCTGCAGCAACACCAGATGGGATCCACAGGTCTGGCTCTATCCAGCAAATGGAGCAGCTGAACCGGCGGTGAGCACTTGCATCTCTATTCTTCTAAGATCCACAGCCTCTTTTCTCAACAACACCCCAATAACTTCCTTACTGGAGAAGAGAAGGCTACAAGGAGACCTCATTGCAGCCTTCCAGTACTTAAACGGAGATTGTAAAAAGGAGGAGAATCAGTTTTTTTTTTACGTGGGTAGATGGTGATAGGACAAGGGGAAATGGTTTCAAGCTCAAGAAGGGAAGATTTGGATTGGATGTCAGGGGAAGTTCTTCACAGAGAGTGGTGAGGTGCTAGAGCAGACTGCCCAGAGAGGTTATGAATGCTGCATCTCTGGAGATGTTCAGGACCCCTGGGCAACTTGGTCTAGTACCAGATCTGGAGGTTTGTGGCCCTGCCTGTAGCAGAGGGGTGGAACTTGATGACCCCTGGGATTCCTTCCAACCCAAGCCATTATATGATTCTATTATTCCTTTCTCACTGCATCCCATTGGCTTCCTAAGCTTCTTTCCTTGTCCAAATGCAACAGACATCTTCTCGTCCTGGCTGCTGCTGATTTTCTGATTTCGTGTACCTGCTGTGGGTATCCAGTACACAAATTTGCCCACATGAGAGGTGCTGTTCAGTGAAAGATGTTTCAAAACTTTTGAAACTGTATGAAGAGTCCTTTGAAGAACTTTCTTTGAAATTACTCCCGAAGGAGAAAGAAATGTTCTTCCAAAAGATGGAGTTACTTTTTCTGTTTAACTGTTAGAGTGGTACTCATGGCTCAGCACCTAGCACTGCACTGCAGCAACTACAGAGGTTTCTATGCTGACTGTTCTTAAAACAGTGTTTACTTATCGGTGTGGTTTACATATCTACTCAAGCTAGTTAGACCCACTGAAAGGTTTGTCTCTTTTTCCAGGGCAGAGCACTGCTTTAGTAGAACTGTACATATTTCCAGATAGAGACAGATGTCTTAATGTTGTAATAGGTGCTGTAAATCTGTCAGTTCATTTTTTGCTAGCTCAGATGTATCTTAGTATGACACACGTTTTCCCTTTGTTTGTTATGGCATTGGTCAACAAGGGAAAGGCAATCTGGACTTAAGCAAGACTTTCTACATGGTTCCTCACCACATCCCTATTTCCAAATTGGAGGGATGTGGATTTGATGGCTGGACCACCTGATGGATAAGGAATTGGATAAAAGGCCGCAAACAGAGGGTGGTCATCAATGGCTCTGTGTCCAGGTGGAGGCCGGTAACGAGCGGCGTCCCCCAGGGCTCTGTGTTGGGACCGGTGCTCTTCAAAATCTTCATCATTGACAGCGATGATGGAATCGAGTGCACCCTGCTGATGACACCAAGCTGAGCAGTGTGGTTCACATGGTGGAAGGAAGGGATGCCATTCAGAGGGACCTCGACAGGCTGGAAAGGTGGGCAGGGTGAACCTGATGAGGTTCAGCACAGCAAAGTGCCACGTTTTTCACTTGGGCCGGAGGAATCCCAGACATCCATACAGACTGGAAGGAGCCGTCCTTGAGAGCAGCCCTGCAGAGAAAGACCTGGGGGTCTTGATGGATGAAAAGCTTAACATGAGCCAGCAGTGTGCATTGCAGCTCAGAAAGCAAATGGTATCCTGGGCTCTATCAGAAGAGGGGTGGCAGCAGGGACAGGGAGGTGATTGTGCCTCTCTACTCTGCCCCATCTGCAGCACTGTGTCCAGGTCTGGAGCCCCCAGTACAAGAAAGACAGAGAGCTGTTGGAGAGGGTCCAGAGGAGCCACAGAGATGATCAGGGTGCTGGAGCACCTTCTCTATGAAGACAGGCTGAGGAAGCTGGGCTTGTTCAGCCCAGATAAAAGAAGGCTGCAGGGTGACCACACTGCAGCCTTCAGTACCTAAAGGGAGCCTACAAACAGGAGGGGAGTCAACTCTGTGAAAGGGTAGATAACGGCAGGACAAGGGGAAATGGTTTTAAGTTGAGAGAGGGAAGATTTAGGTTGGATGTCAGGGGGAAGTTCTTCACAGAGAGAGAGGTGAGGTCCTGGAACAGCTGCCCAGGGAGGCTGTGGATGCCCCGTCCTTGGAGGTGTCCAAGACCAAGCTGGATGGGGCCCTGGGCAGCCTGGGCTGGTATCAAATGGGGAGGTTGGTGACCCTGCCTGTGGCAGGGGGTTGGAGCTTGATGATCCTTGTGGTCCCTTCCAGCCTGGTCCATGTGGATCTGTGATTCTGCATCTGGTCTAGAAATAAATTTGTTTATCATTTTTATCTCTTGCTCGCTTCTTGGACTGAATTTAATAGTGGTTAAAAATCCTCCCTTTTTACTTCAGACAATTTTTTTTAAGTCCCTGCTTACTGTAATGGTATGGTGTCTTTTCTAGACAAGCAAAGCTGAAATTATGTTCTAATCATAGCATGTAAAATGCCACAAGAGTTTTTTGGTCTTTTTCTCTGTGCTCGGAGAGAGTTCTGCAGCTAAGAGAAAAATATAAAGTTTAAAAGTATTGTTTTCATTGTGCAGAATAGTTTTGGAGTTACTGTATGTCAGGAGAACTGGGTTCTGAATGACAACAGAAAAGTTGATTTAACTCTTGGGGAGTACTTCTGTCTTCTTAAAGTCGTCATTGTACACTGAAAGTTGACAGCATCAACTCTTTCTTGAAATAAAATGTAGCATTTCATAATGTGCATCATGTCTTGTAGAGGTGAAAGAACCCTTACAGCTTTCTTCAGAAGGCATCAAGCTACCATGTTAATATTAAAAAAAAAAAAGAAATTAAATCCCAAAGAGTAGGCTTAATCCAGACTTTTTTTTCAAGGCATTTACATGACTCTCCTCTACCATTTTGTGTTTTTCTTTAAGAGGGATTTGGATTATGTGAAAGCTCAGAGTATTTGATTGATGATAAGCAAGTTTTCTGCCACAAAACGCTCTGTTGTGGGTATACATCAGCCTTTTGTGGATATACGTCAGCCTTTTCTCCTCCCTTTTTTTCTTTCTTTTTTTTTTTTTTTTGGAAGTTGAACTCTCATGTAAGTGCAGCACAAGACAGAAATAGGTGTTGGTGAGGCTGCTTTTAGGAGTGTACCATTCCTTTAGCTAACGCAGGTTAATTCATAAACCAACTATCTCAGATACTTCAGAGTTTGTACGTTTGTGACGTCCTTGCTACAAACTTCCTTCTGTATTTTCTTGTAGTTTGTCTGGCTTCCAAATTTATGACTTGTCACTGGTTTGGATTGGTAATTGAGTGCTAATAGGTCTAACATTTTTCACTGAATCTCTCTATTTTTGGTATTCAGAAATTCAGTTACAAAGTCAAAAGTCAAAAGTTCAAAAGAAGATTTTCAGTAGTGACATAGCTCTCTTTATCTGAATCCCATTGCAGACCACGCATTTTGTAGTAAATATAAATTGCCATGGGTTCTTGGCACAAAGGATAAAAAAACAATGAATCGCTGTTGAAGAGCTCTCTTGATTTCAGATGCTGAATAGGGAGTTCTCCTGTTGTTTCAAAGTTTGGGAACAAAAATTTCCCAAGATTCTGATAAACGAGTCTCATGCTGAATACTCAGTTAAAAGAAATTGGGCATTTCAGAATTGGAAAGTGATTTCTGCATTTCAACCTGGCTGCTTGAATTTATAAAATTGTCATTGCAAATTTCAAACATTTCAAGTCTTCAGATTTCTGTGTCATGAGGAAAAGAAGCTTTCATAAATAGTAAATGGAAAGCATTATAGTAGGCATTGTTTCAAATTTTAGAAATACTGGTTTGTTGTGTTTCAAACTTCATTGTTTGAAACAGTCTTCAGCAAACACACCTGAAAATAATTTTAGGTGAGGCAAGAGCAAACACGGGGCTTGCAGATAGAATTGCCAGCAGCCTGAACAAAGTGGAACTCAAAACCACTTAATTTGAAAAAACTTGGCCACTTCTCTGTTTGAACCAGTTTATTCAGCTTCCTGGTTTCATTTCTGGGAGGGAATGGAAAAACCAAAATATTACAAGGAAACCTGGTATTTCTAGCTCTGCCAAAACCACAAAGCTTCGGAAATTTAGCTTGGGAAAAAAAAAAAAAAAAAAACCCACATAGCTGTAATTGCACAAATCCAGGAGCTTCATCCGACTTTCTTTCTGTGCTCAAAGCTGCTCGTTAGCTATGCTAGCCACTTCAGAATGCAGAGACAGCCGTAGTTTTTAGTGTAAAGACTCTTGCTCATTTTCTTCAGCAGTACCTGACTCACTGACTTCTTAGCAAAGCAGTTAATAGCCACTGCTGCTCAAGCTCTGTTGGGAAGATCTTTTGAAGCATATGTATACCTAGACTTGTTTTTGCACTAGATTAAGAAGTAATAAATAACACAAGAAATTATAACTGTGTAGTTAAGACAGCTTCAGAGTGGCATTTCTAAGCCTCTATTTCTTTGACACATCACTTTGAAAAGACTGAATTTCCAGAGGCATTCCCATAACCTTTGCCCTTTCAATATTTTCTCCAAATACTTTGACATTTTCTACTATTTATATAAGATAGTTTTATAGTACTGACACCTCCAAAACATGGTTTGTTTGTTTGTTTGTTAGTTTTTGTGGGCAAACAGCTAGTACTACTGTTCAAGGTTTGACAGTAGGAATTTTCTACTATCTAATTAAACCGAAGCTGCAAGTTTTTTTATTAATGTGCTCATATCCCTCGATTACATGAACTTCTTAAAAAACATGTATACTGCTGATGCATGGGAGTGCCGTAAAACTCCTCCAGTAATGGAATGGAAAGTTCATTCAGTTGCCTGTAGTCAAGTGAATAAAATTGTAAAGTGTGGGTCTAAATCAGAGGGACATAGCAACTAAGGTAAATTTGTGCTGTTATGAAATCTGCTATCAGAATTTCTTCACGAAGCTGGATGCTGACTTGAAAATAGAACACCCAGTCTTTTTGTTTTTTATCTTCTAAATTTGCTCTTTATTGAGCTTTCAAATGATACAGTAAATGCAATTTTAAATGCTTTTGAATGCTGAGGGATATAAATACTACTCTGAAAGTTAAAACCTAGCTGTTTTTTCTTAATTGTTTACAGCTCATCTGCCCAAAGTTGAGTTGCAGTTAGCTGTTGGAGGCACTCACTGTCAACTGAAAGCATAAAAAACAAATCCTCGTTGTCTTTACTGATCCCAGGCCTATTTAAGGAACTAACTCCTGAGCAATTTTCTATTTAGAGTAAAATGTAAATTAACAAATAAAGAGAGGGAGAGAAAGTAATTAGAAATTCTAAGTCAGAATATGAGATGAGAAAAGAAAAAAAGAGCGTAAGTCAAGAAAATGGGAGACAAGCAATGTTGGATCAGATTAAATGCAGGCCATAGAGCCAGTCTTGTTTATCTGTGTTTGAGAATACAATCCAAAAGTATGGATTAAAAATATCGAAGTGGATTAAAAGCTAATCAATTAATTAACAGGACCTATTTCTTTCTTTCCCTTTCTATTTCTTCTTCCTTCTTTTCTTTCTGTCTGGATTTAAAAATACATTTTCTTATTCAATAAATAAAAATATTTACATTCATGGCTTTCTAGTAGAACCAAAGAAATCTTGATCTCTCTTCTTATTCAGTTGTCTGTGTGAGTGAACGAGTTAACTAGAATTGATTTTGTGTAGTGCTTATTTGAAACACTCCTGATTATTTCCACAGCCAGGTCTATACTTTGTTCCTGATCTGGTAAAGTATTTGAGATTTGAATAATCTCTGAGAGTTATTAGACCTACTAGCATCAATTAATGTGGCAGTTAGTTCCATAATTAATATGGAAATTATATAGTTTTTGAAGGTGTTTGCAGGTTTCAGTTCAGCATTTACTTCTGTCGTCCTTCTCACTGTTTTCTGCTTATGTCTGTATTGTTTCTTCTCTCTTGTTCTGTAGCTGGTCACCACCCAGTGCAAGCTAATATGCAATCCCATTAATTTCCATAAGTGGACATTACACATTGTTGTGCTTTTCACTCAGGATGTGTTGCATCCTATTCTCCTCTTCTACAGTCATTTTAATGAGATTGTTGCTCTCTGAGTTAATACAGTCTACTAGGCTACATTCCATACTGTCTAACAAAACACAAGTGTTCTCAACTGGTGGCCATGCTATACCGTCATCCACACTGTGAACACTTCTACCTTTTTAGGGTTTTAATCCTTTACCAATTTTGGGTTGAACATATTGTATCAATATTGTAATAAGCAAGGCTGAAGGGCATCAGTGCACCGTGCTACCGTATGACTAAATGAGAGAGAGAACCATGATCCTCTAATATTTTTAGGTTCCAGGCATCTGGATTATTTAAAGAGAATCCTAATGGAAATTTGTAGCTCAGGTACCTTTGTGAACTTGACCTTTGAGTCTCCTTTGCCTTTCAGTGTAGCTATGTAGCTCAAAATGCCAGATTTTGGGTTGGTCTCAGGTGTGAATATCACTTCAAGGGGGGAATCCAGTGTGCTCCTTACTCTGTTGTATTCTGAAGGTAAAAGTATTGGAATCATTGAAAAACAGCACTGATTATCAAGACAGGAAGTATCAGAATGCTGTTCTGTTAACTAAGACACTTCGTTCCTTTCTCTAAATGTATGCAGATACCAAAATATCCAGCGAACTATTGCAACAGAGCGGACTGAAGATGATGGTGTAGTAAACAACAGGGTGGAGAGAGTTCCCACTGGAGGAGGAAGTGACTCTGAGGCAGAGCCTTCCCAACCAAGCTCAGGTATGTCAAAATAGCTATGGAGGGCATGTTCAGTGCTACTCAGTGTTGGCATTCAGTTTCGAGGAGTGCTGAGGTCTAGAATGCCAGCTAATTAAAAGAAAAAAAGGTTTAGCTATGAAGCTACAATCACAAGGACAGATAAAAAGGTGCTTTTTTTTTTTTTTTTTTTAAACAACTGTTAAGACGGAGCATTTTTATTTTAAGGAAGGACAATTTTAAAATGAAATGGAGATGGTGTCTATTTTTGTTCAATGCAGTATAAAAACCGCACTGTTTTATTTTTGCTGCGTTGTGATAAACTGTGCGTCTTTCCATTTATTGTTTCTGGTCACGGCTTCTGCACTGCTACATTTCTTTCTGTAGACACACCTGCAGTGGCCCTGCCATGGAGTATGGAATATTTGGGGTTTTTTTATGGCTACAGCTTTGTAATAGCTATTAGCAGATCCAAGTCTGGGCTGCCACTGAAGGAGGCACAGCTGTATTTTTACACATCACTAACTATATGACAGTGTCTCATAACAGAGCAGGGAACTGATCTATTTGAAAACTTTCTTGTGGTTAAAGCTCTTTGTAGCCAAATTCTTCCACTTGGCTCATTAGAACTAAACAAGAACTACTGCCAATGTGAAAGAGAAGAAGAGAATGTGTATCCAGAGAAGGATGGAACAGGCAGGGAGCTATTCCACTCTTTTTTGGTGGCAGACATATTTCTTTAAAGCAGTTGCAAAGCCATCAGCTGTTTTTATTCAGATAAGAAACATCAACAATCAGACTAGTGTTCATGTTTTTTGTGGACCCACAAAAATAGCTATCTGCTTTCTTTGAGAAATTGTGCCACCAAAATGAATACAAAGTTCTTTCCCATTGGGTCATTCTCACCCTCCACCTAGGGTTGTCTTCCATGTTTGCTACAGTAAGTAAGTATCTTCTTGCCATCCTTGTATAAAATAGCATTGGCAAAGGGAAAGATTCAGCTTATCTACTTGAATTTTCTGAATGTTCCATATTGAAGAAGAATTCTTCTCTCTAAAATCAACAGTGAGTGAAACCAATCAGGACCTGAGTAACAGCACTGAACTAAACAGACAGCTGGTAAAAACTGTTGTGGTCAAACTGTTATTTAGAGATGGCAGTAGTTATGAGCCAGAGTTTTTTAACATCCAGGAGCATCCAGCTCCTGCCCTGTGAGTACAGCAGCACTAACTATAACACCTACAGTTTTGCCAACAGACTCATCTTGGAAATGCAAGGAGAGTAGGTACAGGGCAGGATGGTGACATTTTTGTACAGTCACTTTTGTAGCCAAAGTAGAGACCAGATAACAGACAGTCTTTGCCACTGTTAATAAAATTGTGGTTCTTTTGGTTTCTGTCCAGAGATTAGGAGGGAAGGTTCCCTTTCTCCTGTGAATTCTCAAAAAATCACCTTACTGCTGCAGTCTCCAGCTGTGAAGTTTATCACCAATCCTGAGTTCTTCACTGTGCTGCATGCAAACTATGTGAGTAATTACAATTTGCTTTTTCTGAGTCCCAATATTGTGCCCGAGGCCTTCAGGGAGAATGCACAGTGAATTCGAATTGTGTGACTTGGGGTTTGGTTGTTTGTTCTGAGCACAAGGCCAGACTGAGGACAGCACAGACAGACTGCTGCAAGAAAAATCTTGCTAGGATTCTGCCACACACAGGGAATTCCCTGGCACAGAGAAGCTTATTAATTTTATTCTTCCAGAATAAGCAGGAACCCTTGATTTCAGGTTGATGATTCTGTTGTCTGTTCCTGCAGGGAGTTAGGTTGTTACTTTTGGAGCCATGTTCATGAGGAACCTCACTCAGATTGCAAAAAGGTCTCAGGGAAACAGAGAGAGGGGAAAAGTTATTAACTCCAGTTTGCACTCTCAAGAAGCAGGTAGGCATAAAGCAGTGAAAGAAATTCTGACTCGAGTCAGTGTAATTATTTTGGAAAAAAAAAAAAAGAACATTAAAATAACTTTTTTTTTTTTTTTTTTTTTTTTTTTTTTTTTAAATTAATACAGTAAATCTGTATGTTTTGTTTAAACCTGATGTGGAGTGGAAAAAGTTTAGTGGTAGGTTTACCACAAGGAAGTAGGTAGGGAAATCTCAAAGAAGATGTAGTTATCAAGTTCCAGTCTTGGTTTCCTTATCTTGAATGCAGGTTTAGCAAGGCATCCACACATGACCTCTGAATATTTGGAAAATGCTCTATTTCTGGTTAGGGTTGCCCTTTCTTTTTGAAATGCACAGGAATTGAAACACTTGAAGAGTTATCTCAGCACAGTTTTTAGGTAATGACTAATGTCCAGCTTTGGCCATGGCACTGTGTGGATTGAAGCCATCTGTCCTCCAAGCCTCTGCCAGAGCTTATTGCTCCTGAAATTCTGCGGAAGGTGCCTTGTATCTATTCATCTGACATTGCCTGAACTATGTTATGGAGCGCACATAATTTCTTCCATTAACTGGGTGATATATCAGGATTTATGTCTGGGAACAGTATCACTTTCATTCAGTATAGTTATTTACAGAAGGAACAAATGTTTCTATACTGATGCAAGAAAAAGTTTGTAAGAGATTTAAGTCTCAGTTTCATTTCTCACTGAAATAAAAAAGTCAAGAGAAGCCTTCAGTTTGGGTTTATTAAATTGTCTCTAATATGGAAGCCATAACAATCTGTTGAAACATCTGTCAAATAGTCGTATAGATTCCACTTGTGCAGAAATAATGACCCACATAACTCCTGGCTTAATGAGTTGTTATATTTTAACGACACGCCCCCATTAAAATTTCAAGCTGTTAATTGTACCAGTGAAGGTGGGTTTGGAAAACATTATGCAGCAGTTAGAGTTAAAAGGGAAAGGCTGCCATTATGCTGATACTTTATTTCCATTGAGATACATCTACATTACATTCTTGGTTTCTGTAGTGCCAATCAGAGTTATTGATCAGATGAAAATGGAACTTCTGTAACAGAGTAGACTGGGAACTCAGCAGTTTGTGAGCATAAAGCTTTCCTGAGTTATAATCAGGTCGTATTTTCAGGGCAGAATAATATCTCTTTGATTTCACTACATATACCAATATTTTATCATAATTAAGGCCCTTTGCTGCAAGGAGTATTCCCTTCTCAGCACTACCACAACTATAAACCTTGCATAATAAAACTAATACTTGTAAATGTTTTATTGCATCGTAGTGGTAAAAATGCATTAGAAGTACACAAAAATTGAGAATTCAAAGCTTTTGGAGCCAGACTCACTGGGCAGATTACATATAGACACACCGGGACTCACTTCACTGGAGACAGGAATTCTCCATTGACCCTTAATTGCTCAAGACAGAGACAGCAGAAAGTATTTCACGTAGAATAATGAAAGCTCTAGTGAGTAATTCAGTCCTTTCAGGTGACCAGTATAACCAGAGCACTAATTTTCTGTATAGTGAAATGCTCAGAAGAAATGCACATTTTCTGTGAAGTTTCCTACCCTGCCTTGAACTTTTCCCCTGGAATAAAGGTCCAAGAGTAGTGTCCTGTGGATGAGAAAAAGTGTTGCCACGACCCATGTATTTTGTGGAACTGTGTCACTGAACACACTACGGCCACAAATACAGTTCAGTTTGGCTTCTTTTCTGCGCCTGGATCAGCACTAACTCACTCAGATCTAAGAGAATGTTCTCCTAAGAGGTGTCTTTAGTGTTCATGGTGAGATATGACTACCTGGCTTCAGGATGGTATCCATGTGACTCATAAAAACGTCTCCATCTGACAGGCTTTTTAGTCAGTGCAGAAACAAATACTCAGTTCCAGGAAGCAATTGATATCTTCCAAAAATAGGCAATTGAATGTGTCTGTTTCTGTCCTGTCACTATAAAATGACCATAAATAAGGTAACAAACTCACGTACAGACACCTACACTGCAGTCCTCTTCAGCTGATGAATCCTACCAAAAGCATCTTAATTTTAGTGATACCATAAACACATGCTCACAGCGATCTTTGCACCTTTCTTGGATCATCCAGTCACACAAGCAGGCTTTCTGCTAGTCTATGAAAGAAATGAAACAGGCACAACTACAACATATTGAGTAGGTGGTGTTTTAGCTAACTGTTTTTTTGGAGTGCTTTATGAAGCAGTTTATATGGAGAGTAACTGTGCACAGTATGGAGGGATGTTTGGCTTTCCAGATTACATTTCTTACTTCTAAATGTTTGTGTAAAACAGTTGTTCAATTTAATGCAACTCTCACAGCATGTGTTTCATTTCTTTGGACAGATGCCCCCAGAAATAACTAAACGTCATTTTGACATCAGAACTGTTTTTTCTCACTTCTATTTTCCTTTTCAAAGAGTGCCTATCGAGTCTTCACTAACAGTACCTGTTTGAAGCATATGATTCTGAAGATCCGTAGAGATGCTCGTAATTTTGAGCGCTATCAGCACAACAGAGACCTTGTAAATTTTATCAACATGTTTGCTGATACCCGACTAGAGCTTCCTCGTGGCTGGGAAATAAAAACTGACCAGCAGGGCAAGGTAAGAGTGCCAACAAAACAAATCACTTGTTTAAAACAGCACATCAGGCTACATGGTCTGTGACGGTCCCCTCATTCTTATCTCAAAAATGGTAAAAATTTGGATTAAACAACACTTACACCAAGCAGAGTTATTTTAAAAGCAGGAAAAAAAGCATCAGGAACAAATGTTGTAGAGCATAGTGGTAACCTGGCTTCCTGTGGAATGTCACAGCATATCTGAGAAAGTACTGAACTAATAAAGATTTCATCCAGAGTAGAGATCTGTCATGACAGTGACAGTGTCTGCTTCCATGAGGCTTTGCTACCAAATAAGCAGTGTTACCTAGTGATTTTATTCTCTTCCACCTTGTTTACCTCATGGCTATTATATGTAATTTTGAGCTCCATGTATTTTCCAAGATCTGTTCTAAATTTGGCTAAGAAAGTCCTATTATTTGAAGATACTAACAGGGGATTTCTGACACGCAGTTTCTAGTGATTTTCACTGTATGTTGCCACAGTTGCTGGCTTTCTTCTTCCAAAAATAACCACTCCACATTGTTCCTGTATATTTCAGTCTTTCTTCGTTGACCACAACAGTCGTGCTACCACATTCATAGATCCCAGGATCCCACTGCAGAATGGTCGTCTCCCTAATCACTTGACTCACAGGCAACATCTTCAGCGGCTTCGTAGCTACAGTGCTGGAGAGGTAACCGTGCTTGTATCAACACTGATCCCTTTTCACAGCAGTCAGTTTAAAATGTGTTGGAAAAAAGGTCTTGTGGGTTTTTATCTTCCAAAGAAGTAAGAGTTCTTTTCTTTCTGAAGGGTTGCTGATAATGAAGATTTACATTTTTACCATTTTCAGAATAAAATAATAAACAAGTAAACTAAAAATCACAGTGAAATGATGACAAAACAGATTTTAAAAGAATCCATGTTTGACATCCTTGCCTTGCCACTCATTATTTGTATACTTTGATACTTCAGCAGCCTTGTATCTTTCTTCATTCTCCACTGTGACACTGTGCTCTGAAGAGGTATACTCCCTCGCAGGTGCAGCAATGCATATTAAGGTCTGCTTCCCTAACCTTCAAATCATGCTAAGCAGTCTTTCCTATGTTTCATGGATATGACTTCTATCACTGAGTAGCGTGGGCAGGATAGCAGGTGCATAAATCCTGTTTTTGTTTATGGAGTTAAGGAGGGAAGGGTGCTAGCAATCAGATTCTTCATGCTGTTGAAGATTTGTGAAGATTGCGGGTGAATGGGAGTAGATATGCATAACGGCCACAGATTTTCTCCTGCAGAAAATCATCAGAAGTGTTAGTGAAATTGATATTGACATTTGTTCCAGCGGGACTAGTCTGAACACTTCCTACTACCGAAGGAACTTAGAATCAAGGGCAGGCAAGACATAAGTAGCTTTGATGGAGTTTTGGAATTTTGTGTGAATACTGCACGGTATTTTCTGAAGATTGAAGTCATCAGTGTCTCTTTCAGTCCTGTTCTCCCACCAGTTCAGCAACTTTCCTCTGCCAGCAGCCTGCACTTTAATGTTTTTATTGTGACTGATTCAAGTGATATGAATGTGAAAGCCACCTCTGTGGTGATCCATATTTAGGCTCATACTTTCCTGAGTCTTGCTTACAAATTCACCCAGTCAAAGACAGAAACACTGCTCAGCCAACCTAACACAAGAAATACACTTAGTTCTTCACGTGGTTGCAGGACTGGCAGAAACAAAATGTCATGTACAGGGAAGAGAGTAGAGAGAGTAATGACTCTGAGGAAACTGTGAACTCTTCATCAAGGGCACTGATCTGGCATGATTAGCCGATGAAACGGAGCTGCCTTCTGTCTAGGCAGCTATCAGTGTTGGCACTCTCACTGGCTCAGTGGCCCAGATCTCATGGTGCTTATGCACCCCTGTCATAGCCTTTAGTTTCCCCTCTGGGAATATTTGCTCCTCCACTGGAAGCATTCCCATTCATTTCCAAGGTCTTTAGATCAGTGCCTGAAAGCACACCACTTACAAGAAAAAGATTCAAATATTTGCAACTTGTCCCATGAAACTTTGTGGTCCATGCTATTTCTTCACAGTATGTTTGGATGTCTTTTTTTCCTATAAATCACAGAACTACAGAATTTCATGTACTGGAGTGAGATCTTTAACTTACAAAATCACAGAATTGCAGGGCTTGGAAGGTTCCTCAAGAGATCAAGTACAACCCCCTGATAAAGCAGGTACCCTGCAATAGGTCACACAGGCAGGTGTCCACCCAGGTCTTGAATATCTCCATAGAAGGAAACTCCACAAGCTCTCTGGGCAACCTGTTCCGGTGTTCCATCACTCTTACTGTAAAGAAGTTCTTCCACATGTTTGTATGGAACTTCCTACACTTGAGTTTTTAGACCATTACTTCTTGTCCTATTGCTATGCAGCGCTGAGAAGAGCCCGGCCTCATCCGTTTGCCTTTAGATCTTTATAAACATTGATCAGAGCCTCCCTCAGTCATCTTTTCCCCAAGCTGAACAGACCCATGTTACGCAGACTTTCCTCATACAGGAGCTGCTCCAGGCCCTTAGTCATCCTTGTGGCCCTTTGCTACACTCCTTCCAGGAGAACCCTGTCTTTTTTGAACTGGGGAGCTCAGATCTGGACACAGTATTCTAAATGTGGCCTCACCAGGAAGAGTAAACGGAGAGGATCACCTCCCTTGACCTGCTGCCACGTTCTTTTGAACACACAGCATGATACCATTGGCCTTCTTGGCCACAAGGGCATGCTGCTTGCTCATGGCCAACCTGTTGTCCACCAGGACCCCCAGATCCAGCCAGTTGGCTCGTGAGGATGTGAAATGGAGACCTAGGGAGAAGGAGAGAAGATTTAGCTCAGCACAGAGGAGTTGTGTCTTTGGGCCAAGACTCAGAGAGAGTGCCTGTGAGAGCAGAGTACAACACAAGGCTATTGCTTAACAGAGGTGAAGAGGAGACTAGTTTCACAGCCGAGGTTTTCATTATGCTTACACAGCTTTTGACAAAAACATAGATGCGGTTTAAATTGCATCAATCCCTGTGGCACTCATTGCACTGCAGTTAGTACATTGTATATGACCTGTTTGAAAGTTCAGTCATAAATTGCCTGTTTTTAAAGGTGAAAGGGATTGGACCAAGATTAGCACATCAGCCCATTAAGTACTGCAGGCTTGACTGTTCTCCCTGACACTGGAATAACTCTCTTGTAGCTGGCAGATGTATACCAATATAAAAAATGGGTACAAGCATAATCATAATTAAATCACAGATAAAAATTTTCACTGTGCACTTTCACAACAGTTTTGTGTTTTCAATTACGGTATGTTTAATCAGAATCATCAAGAGTTTTTATTGTTCAGCCTTTCTGTTGACATGTATGAAGTACATTGACTGGTGTCTTGTTACACATAAACTTTTTATTCTTTATGTGCTCCAAAGGCAACTTGCCAGTCACATTTAGCTTCTCGGTTTTCATTTATGTCCAGCTGGAAGACCTGGCATTCGGCCATAATACTGAAAATGGATTGGCACTACTTACTTGTATGCAGAGCTAAGCATTTAAAATATTGGAGTAGAGGCAATTTCTTCCAGAAGTAGTTGCCAAGTACTACAGTTTGTGCAGCAAGAAGGAATCATCCCAGTAGAACGACAATTGGAATCCATACACATCTTGTCTTGACATGGATTTTTTAGCAGTGCTCCTCTGTTGGCTTTCCTGTGGCCACACTTTGTCCAAGTGTGTCCTTGTCATATATGAGGGAGGTGCATTCCCCTCAGTTTGTACTATCCCACATGCAATTACACAGCAAGTAACAACACACTGAAGACCAATTGCTGTTGTTGTACTGGGCTTTTAATATCTTTTTAATAATTTAATATCCTCAGATCTAAGTGTCTGCCCACCTTCTAATGTATCCGCCTTCCTGACATGAATCCCTCCTCTAGATGCTGTGTTTAGGACAGTGGCATTCTTTAAGTCTCTCAGTTAAGTAGCAGTGATATATTTCCCCTTTATTCCTCCTTATTTACCTACTTTTTAGTTGATGTTCTTTTTCTCAGCATATACAATTCAGTATCTGTTTCTGGTTATGCAAGTTAGGCAAAAGCCCTTTTCTGACCTGTGCTCAGCAGAGTTATATCATGCTCGTATTATTCCAATGCTGAATGTCCTTTCAACAATACAGAGAGCACACTTGTAATGTTGTGGGTTTTTTCCTTTACAAATTAACATTGCTGTAAAAATTTTTACATAAATACAGTTATGCTAGAACAAGATACTGTATAATATGGCAGAGATTTTATTTTCACTGACAGAGAACTCCATCACTGTAAGGCCTTTACTAACCTGCATTTACTTCGAGACTCTGTTGCCTTCACTGAAGCACAGAAGAGGGATGATAACTGGATAATAGTGTCCCTCCATTTGAGAACACAACATTACATATTTTTAATCTGACTGAAGTGTAAAGCTATAATTTTCATGCAGACTTTCTGTCCTCCAGTCAGTCAGCAAAATGAAACCACTCTGAAAGTCACAAAAGTAAAAATAAAAAACATTTTTACTAATTGATGTGCTGCCAATTTGCCATTTGCCCATTCTTCCCCTTTCCTCCTTTGTTGTAGGCTTCTGAAGTCTCTCGGAACAGAGGAGTTACTCTGTTGGCCAGACCAGGCAATAGTCTCGTAACAGCTATTCGAAACCAGCATCATTATGAGACATTACCTCTGGGTAAGCCAAGTTTCTCTTTCCAAAGCAGAGCTCGCAGAAAAGCTTTTAGAACAATTTGTCACTCACATGCACAGCTCCGTGTTGTCCCTTGGCTCACTGGCAGTGCAGTCAGTGGGCCCCTGCATCACCGCAGTAATGTCCTGAAGGCCCCCTCAGTAGTAAATAAAGTCTCTGTATTGCTTTTTTCCTTTTCTAGCTTACAATGACAAGATTGTTGCATTTCTACGCCAACCTAACATTTTTGAGATGCTGCAAGAGCGTCAGCCCAGTTTGGCCAGAAACCATGCACTCAGGTACTGCTTTGTTCCACATTGCTGACACCAAATTCCATAAATTATTTACTGTAGTGAAAAAAGCAAGTTCAACTAACTATTGCAAAAAAATCCAGAACTGCCACTAAGTATCACTGAACAGCAGAAACTGTCTTCTTCTGCAGTTATCACCTTGCTTCTCAGAAGATAGCATTAACATGCAATTTTGATGAGAGTGAGCAGCAAAAAGCGAGTAATTTCAGAAAAAGGATTTTCCCTTGTGGTCAGATTTATACTCAAGCCAAGGACATAGTCATTCAAGCAGCAATATTATGAAGTACTCCTGTCTTAACTCCTTCACCTGACTTAAAATTAGTCTTTCCTAAGTAATTAAATTATATCTCTGTTTTTATTACACCCATTTCTTTTCTGTTAGGTGTAAAAAAAAAAAAAAAAAGAAAGAAATCAGAACTAAAAGCCAATACAATTTTAAATTCATTCTAATTCCAGAAGTTAGATTAATTGTTTTGGCCTAGAACCTGAGCTGGTTTTAGTCAGTCTCAGCCATACCAATGTACACCAGCACAGAGTTTGGCCGAAAGGTTTAGTTTGCTCTGCACAGTGAAAAGTGCAGCTGGGGATCTGGTAAAGAAGCAAAGGAGGAGGAAGAGAAGAGCCTTCAAGATCTTGTAGCCAACTTTCTGCTGTTGACTCATAATTTACACTTGAGAGCCTGACAAAGAGTTCTGTGGGGGTAAGGATTAGACTTGCTTCCTGAAGGAAATAATACATGCAAATAAAATGAGAAAGAAAGAATGAAAACTGCTGCTTGTATTCAAGATGTACATTTCTGTAACTGAGAATTTTTTATCTTCACTATCAAATTATTCCAGACTTTTTTTTCCCAGCTGTAATTCGAATTCTCATTTCTCAGAGAACAGATGATGGTTTTATGTCCTTCAGAGCAGAGAACAAAATTGACTAGGGATAGGGACTACACAGCTTAGTATTAAGATCTGTAACAAGATGTTGAGCCCTTTGCCTCCAAGTCATTGCTTTGATTGAAGCTTAGGTTGGGAGTAATCCCAAACTACAATCTAATGCTCGTATAGCAGACCTTGAGCAAACTCCTAGGGGGCAAATGTCCATCTTTCACAGGTTTGACTCTGCCCCATCCAGAGAAGTACATCTTTGACTTTACATAGAATCTTGATATTTTGATGCTTGTTATTCTTGGATACAGCAGTGCTACAGAAACATGCTGGCAGATTGGGATGTAGCTCTGTGTTTTTCATGGGTCTGACCTACTGTTGGGATCCTATCCGTGCTTTCCATCCTTGTTAGAATTCATTTAAAGTAGCAAAATGCATGATTTTATACATACACCATGCAACTTCTTTGATTTTCAATTGGTATCATATTCTTGATATTCTAGTGTGGTTTTTACCAACTGGAATGGACAGAGGTACAGGAAGTGATATTATATGAAATACTGTTAATGAAAGGAGATATCTTAGTTGTAACCTTAAACTAGAAGTCTGTCTGTCAGTGACAGTAGCTATAATATTACATATGGGCTTAGAAGGTGAAGAATTATTTTGTTTTCTGAAATATGGTAGAATATCTTTGGCTTTAGGATCAGGCAACTGACTGATATAAATAGATTATTTTTTTACTAGTTTGTTAGTGTGATCAGCAAATTAATCAGGCAGTTAAACTGTCTGCCATTTTTTTTAAAGAGAGAAACAGGAACTGGCAAAATGCTGAGGAATAATGATTTTATGTCTAACTCATGCCTTGATTGTGGCATGTTCTCTTCACCTTTTTCTTTCATTCTCCTCTTGTCAATAATATTGTTTATGTTTCAGGGAGAAGATCCATTATATTCGGACAGAGGGTACGCATGGGCTTGAAAAGTTGTCCTGTGATGCAGATTTAGTAATTCTGCTGAGGTAAGAAATTTGATCAAAAGCATAATATTGTTTCTAAATCTTCCAGACCATTGGTAATTAAAATAAGATTTGTTGTTACTGAGAGTCACTCAAAATAATTCAGCCAGTGTCTGTCATTCCATTCTTACTTCCTGAAAGGCAGCCTCCATCAGTGCAACAAACTCCATCCACAGTCAGCTCAATTATTTCAGCTGTTGTCATCAAAAAGCAGATAAAAACAATCAAGCAAAAATGTTTCATTTTAAAGTTGTTTTGTTTTTACAGAAGGAAGGAAAAAACCCTCTTCTTTCACAATGCAACTAAGTAATGTAACTGCTCGTAAAATTGCTAATTTTAGTACAGTAATGCTGTCCATACACACAGCCACATCCCACAAATGAACCTTCAAGTGCAGTAAATGTTTTTTGGGTAAAAAGACTTCTATTGGGACTGCAGAGCTTGTTCTTTATGTGCTAACTACTATTTTTTAGCACAGTTAAGGACTTTAGTGTTGTTTTGAGTTTACATGGAAAATGTTGCATTACCTCATGTGATGAACATGTATGAAACTTCTCTCTATCACTTTTTACACGCAGCCTTTTTGAAGAAGATATCATGTCCTACATACCACTCCAGGCCACTTTCCATCCTGGTTACAGTTTCTCTCCTCGCTGCTCACCCTGCTCATCACCCCAAAATTCTCCAGGTAAGGGAATGGGAAAAATAACTCAAAATCTTGCAGTCTTGGTATTTATTCTAAGAAATATGAAAGAACAGATGGAGAACCAGCATGAATTGTTAACCTGTTAATTCCAGTGCCCACTCCAAATCTGCTTTTTTGCTGGATCAGTTGCCATTGCTGTTACATGTCTGTTGAAATGTTAGCAGTAGCTAGAGCACACAAATCAGGAATTGCACATGTGGAAGAATGCAATTTTCTGCTTTTCATATATCTGGGGAGGATTAAGATAAACAGAGAATAATGTGCTTCAAATATAACTTGCTGACATGGAAGCACATTCGTGTTATGTGACAAGAGCAAAGAGCGACATCCAAATCAAAGGCTTATTGCAATACTTTAATAGTTCTCTTGTAGAGTTAACTCACCTCCAGTTTGTGTTCCAAATACTTCACCTCTTTCCAAGACTCATCTATTTTAAGACCCGATGGAATTATCTTGATCATCCTGTCTGACCTCCTGTGTTGAGAACTTTAGTTTGACAGGAAACTTATTTTCCAGAAAGACATGCAGTCTGAGAAGGTTATTTCCAGCTGTGGTATGTCTCTGTAGTTATTGTTTATGCTATAGAAATTTGAGGAGCTGATGTCTCCATTTTGCCAAGATACACACCGCCCCACTGCAGTCTCACTGCATGGCTGTGTCCAGTGGTCACTGTTAGAGAAATTTACAGAAATGTGACCTGAAGAAATCCATTTTTGGCTGACATTTGAAAACATCCATGTGTATTATCTGATTTCAAACAAAATTGTTGGACAAGAGATGTCCAAATCTCAGAGGTGGCTATGCAAAAATGAATTTTCTTTTATGCCAAGAGGTTAAATGCTGAGCCTTTGTCTCCAAGAGATCAGTGTTTTGTCAGAATGCTCTATTGTCATGAATGAGTTTGAACATCATTGAGAATAAATGTAGCCCCTTTCCTCTGCATCAGGACAGATCAGAAACAGGTCTACTGCAAGACCAAGTCTAGGTATTTGGCAAGAAGATGCCTTTCAGAAATGCACAGATCTTTCTCGTTTTTGTGAAAACAAAAGAGCAAATACTAATTTGTGGCAACATGCTGTCTGCTTGCTTATTTTTGCCACTGCCTTCAAATCCCTTGAGAGCCACAATTCCCTTACATTCTGAGGGACAAAAAGTCTAACAAAGTGTCGCAAGGGATTCTCCTTGCACAGCATGTAAATACTCCTTTCTGTTTTACTGGCACAGACTTAGTAATGTGCTTTCGTCCTGGCAATCATGGTACTTTGTGCTCCCACTAAATGTGTTTGATTTTTTTTTACCTTCCTATGGAGAACTTTCTGCCAGAATTCTCATGTAAGAGCTTGTTTATATTGTCTTTTCTAATGAGAAAGGGAAATGGGATTTTAAGGATCCGTTCTTTGACATGATCCATGACTTCTTTCCATGGCATGGCACTTCTGCATACAAAAGGACTAATCAGCCACTTTGAAAATGCAGACTCCAAAACAAAACAGATCCCAAATTACTGAAAATCTGGTGTGTGTGAACCATAATAGGAAAATGTCACATTTCTTGCTGACGGAAATCTTTTTCAGTGCCACGAAGGGTTTTTGTGTTGATGACTGGAAGCGTTTAATATACAGTTAGATTAACTCTGGGAAACCTGATTCTCTGTTTGGCTGGGGTGCTAGGCTCCAGACAGAAGTGCTGCTTTGAGCTCCAGAAGTTTAATCCTGCCAAGTAAGAAGATCTGCTATTCAACGCAAAAGAGAGAGATCTTTTAAAAGTGAAAAAGAAAATCTAAATACCAATGGTCATGAGTGGGAGTTATGCATGTCAACCTTTCAATCATGCCTTTCTGATCCTTTCATTCCGATCAGTCATAGTTAAAGGCTCAGGCAACCCAAAGGCATGCAAACACAATGCCAAATTTACTGTTCTCTTAGTGAAGAAAATACCGGTCCCAGAAGTCATCAGAATCACAGAGTTATAGGAACTTAAAACTCCATTAATGACAGGTAGAGTAGAATTAGGCCTTATGAGGAGCAGCTGAAGGAGCTGGGATTGTTCAGTCTGGAGAAGAGGAGGCTCAGGGGAGACCTCATTGCTCTCCATAACTACGTGAAGGGAGGTTGCAGTGAGCTGAGGGTCGGCCTCTTCTCATGTAACTGGTGATAAAACTAGAGGGAATGGCTTCAAGCAGCGCCAGAGGAGATTCGGGTTGGAGATTAGGAAATACTACTTCTCTGAAAGAGTGGCCAGGCAGTGGAATGGGCTGCCTAGGGAGGTGGTGGAGTCACTGACCCTGGAGGTGTTCAAGGAACGTTTGGATTTTGTGTTGAGGGACATGGTTTAGTGAGAATTATTGGTGATGGGTGGATGGTTGGACTGGGTGGTCTTGTGGGTCTTCTCCAACCTTGGTGATTCTATGATTTTATGATTCTATTAATTAATACTAAGTGCATAGAAACTCTGCATATTACTGTAAGAAGTTCCTAAAACATTTGTTAGTGAGTTGTGTCTGGAAACATTGGCTGCATGATTTGGAAGAATTTAAAAGAACCTTGCAGTATAGAATGTTTTTTTCCCACCAGGACTGCAGAGAGCAAGCGCAAGAGCACCTTCTCCATACAGGAGAGATTTTGAAGCCAAACTACGCAATTTCTATCGAAAACTTGAAGCCAAAGGATATGGACAAGGTCCAGGTAAAATTAAGTAAGTATGATGACAAGTCACTGAAATAGTCTAATGTGGTCTTTAATCATTATCCGTGAATGAAGGCACTGACTGATAGGGAGTGGGAAACACACCAGAGATTGGACTTCATATGTGCACCACCAGTATCTGATAAGTGTATATCTTGCAAAAGAGTGAAGAAATTCTATTTCTTAGAGATTTATATTCTCTCACTGACCTGTTTAATGGGGGTGTTGATATTCCTCCCTGTAATTCACTAGAAGGAAAATCATCTGTTCATGCAATTGTCCATGGTAATAAACTATACATTATTATCAGCTATTTCATTGTAATGATGGAGCAGCTCCAAATCCTTTGGATCTACTTACTAATAATTCAGGATCAGAGTATGACCCTACAAAAGTTATCCCATCTATGCAGTTTCAACTTCAGGTAGTTCTCTGTATTGCTAGCCCTTGTGGATTTGAACCAGGGAGATTTCTGCCTCTCTTCATGTGTTTTGGGGGATCTTTGTCTTAATTGTGGGACTGGCTTCGTAGACAGCTTGGTAGTCGGCTTGAGACTCTGTGCTTACCTATACTTGATTGAGTCGTCTTACTTGGTTAAAAGACTCTATGTTTCAAAGATATTTCCTGGGCACTGGTTGAGTTCATGCATCAGAATGACTTTTTACCAAATCACATCTGTTGGGGGAGGGGAGGGGAACTGAAACAAAGCAGTTTATTACAGACAAGTATCATCATCATGATATTCTTATAGAATATAAGAGTCCCAGTCACTGGTTATCCCCTTTAGTGTAGTTATTTGACTTCTATGGAATTGAATTTACCAGGTCTTGTTTACCTTCAGGCTTACAGACTCACACGAGATTCGATTATTATACCTCTTTTTCTGCCTCCCTTTGCAGGCTAATTATACGACGTGACCACTTACTGGAAGGCACCTTCAACCAGGTGATGGCATATTCACGCAAGGAGCTCCAGAGAAACAAACTCTACATCACATTTGTTGGCGAGGAAGGGTAGGAAACCACTAATGTTCTCGATTTTGAAGTAGCTGTTATGTTGCAAAACATAGTTGACTAAGGCTGAGCCTTCATTTATGCACTGTTTTTATTTTACTTTTCATTTTACTTCTGTGTTAACGATCCATCTTAATTAGACCAACCATTTGTTAAAAATCAGAATAGCAAAAATTCTTCATTTTCCTATACCATCTAGATGTCTCAAAGTGACAATTTAAGTAGTTAAGCCTGATGTCACCTTGTTGCCATAAATATTTAGACTGGATGGAAGACAAAACTGAACTACAGGCCCATGGTTACACATTGAATCACTCTCAAGACTATAATTAGTTATTAGACAAAGCCTTTACCCCTTTTATTACTCTTACTCTAAGAAATGAATCTAGATTTGCTTCAAATGTTTTTGCTTTGCATGCCGTCCAATGAACATTTTTTATTATATGTGGACTTATGCTCTGCCTAAAGTGAGAAAGTTTAGTCATAACAGTGTGACTCACCCAGCTGAAAAATGAAAGCAAAAGAATTCTCTTGAGAAGATCTTTTCTCAGGAGACTTTCTGCTGGCCTTACAAACCCTAGGACCGTGCACCTATGATTAAAGCAAGCCACTGACCTTTTGTTTCTGCATCTAAGCTGAACCTTCAGTGCCACCCCAGATCACCTCAAGAGGTACATTTTAATTGAGACTTACTCCATATTCTTCTTAATGGAGAAACCACTCTGCATATTTCCAGTGTTCCTTGTAACAAAGATTTGAAGTCATATTTTTCAATAGCTTTGTATGTAAGGTTTCATTTATTAAAAACAAAAATAGCAAAAACAAACAACAAACAAAAAATAGGTTTTCCATTACAAAAGTACCAGAACGGGAACAGTAAAGCTCTGGGCACAGTTCTCTCCAGCAACCACTGACACTGTCAGCTCTGAGATAGCTTGTCAAGTGGAGAGCTTCTGAAGAGCTGAGTTGGTTCAGAGTTACATCAGGTCCACTGGAAAATAAAAGTAATGGATTTAAAAAACAGTTCCTCAGTTATCTTAGTGTCAAGAGTTTTTTTAACTCTTACTTACTATACTCTATGGAATCAATATTATGTAATAGAAGTCATCTTTTACAGCTGATTTTGTCACTGACTTGCAAGTAAAGCTTAAGCATGGAAAATGCTGCATTTTTGGAATAGCATTCTAGTATGCTTACACTGGCCAAAGTCATGTTATTTTCCCCACATCTGTAATAACTTTTTTTTGTGTGTGGCAAAGTACTCAGGAGAACCTCAGGCCTCAGGCCTAAAGCTGCTGAAGGGAACAGTAGTAAGCCTCCAAATGTAAAGCAGAGAAGGGTGGACCTGCGGCCCATTATCATCTTTATTGTCACACCAACCAGTCATTCAGACTCTTTTGATTATGCTTCCATAACTTGAAGCATATTACAAAACATTCTGATCCAGCCGCAGTTTTCCACTTGTTTGACATTTATTAAGTATGAGGAATAATGCCCGCCTCAGAAACTGTTTTGGCATGCACGATGTATGGCTGCAAATCATTTGTTCATTTTGCTGTATGTAGATATATTTTAGATTGAAAAACCTACATATCAGTATTAAAGAATTATCTGCTTTTAATAAATCCATCAGAATTGAGATTAATTCATTCATGATGGCTTTTTGTTTGTTTTGCATATAATTGGAAACTGATTTAAAAGTTAAATTGAAGAAAAAAAAAAGGAAAAAAAGTTCAGTCTCTACAGAGCAAAGTCATGCAGTCGCAAAGCAGAACTTCGAGTGTACCACATGTATTTGAAAGTATTAGAAAATCATATTTGGAGCTTGGATGGAATAACTGATGGATCACCATTCCATCTTAAGGGAGTTTGTCTGATTCTTGGTCTTCCTCAGTATTTACCTTTAGGTTATACACTCCTAAGAAATCATACCAGGGGCTAGATCGTGTCACTGGGAGTAGGGGAGTAGGGTCAATCTTTGCTTCTGTCTGAGCTATCTGATCTGAGAACGCAGATGTTAGTAGGCAGTTCAAACCCACTACTAAAAAGCAAAAAAGTGAGAAGAGGGTCTTTGCCCTCTGCCCTGTAGGATCTGCAATCAAGTTTTGGGAGAGGAACTGTATCATGTTAGAAACACTTAATTGTGCAGAGGTAGGTATTAGCAGGCAGTGCCTGCAAAAACAAGGAAATCTGCTCAAATGTGAATGAGTCTCTTTTTTTATGTTTTTTCTTTTTTTTACTTTTTCCTTTCCAGACTGGACTACAGTGGCCCCTCTCGAGAATTCTTTTTCCTTCTGTCTCAGGAGCTCTTCAATCCCTATTACGGGCTGTTTGAGTATTCAGCCAATGACACTTACACTGTACAGATCAGCCCCATGTCTGCCTTTGTTGAAAATCACCTGGAATGGTAAGGACATTTTATGCAGAACGGAACAATCCTTTTAGAACAGATCAGAAATAGAAACGCAAAACACAAAAGATATCAGTTATGACTAGACTGCATACAAGTGTCATTGCTGCTGTTGGGAAGAGGTAAGAGGTAGACTGGGAGAAGAAAGAGGACTAAGTGTAAATACACCAGCAAGCTTTTAAAAAGGAATTGTGATGAAGTACTATTATTCAGATATTCTAGTTGTATTACTTGGGGTTTGATGTTTTTGTTCTTCATTGTGAATATGAAAAGGATGGGAGTGTGGGCTCTGCTAACCTGGATCCTTTTCTAAGAATATCATGTGTAGTCTTTTAGCACATCAAGCAGCTTGGTGCTTAGAAGCTTTAAAAAGGCCCAGAGAAAGCAGTATACCTTTTGTCCCTGCCAGTGTCCTTGCCTGTGCATGGCATGGCCAGCAGAGCAGACATGTCCTTCACTTTCCCTTGTACGTGTGCAAATAGACAAATTGGTTCTTTATCAAAAATTCCGAACGCATATTGTGATGTTTTTATTTTTGTATGTACCTCCAGATCACTCCATCTTTGGGATTTGCTTTCCTTCTGATAGTTTCAGGTGTGGTTCAGTGGAGCATGTGCTTGGTCACTTCTGGCATTTCATTGTTTCAAAGAAGTACTGAAACATCAGTCTGTTCTTATAATGTTTTGCTTTATCTAACCAACCTCACTGACTCCTCTTAGAAATTCTTTTTTTTTTTAATGGAAGGCCACTCAGGCCCTTTTGAACCACCAATAGCACATGCCCCTCTGTTCTTCTAGACAGTACGCTGTGTGCTTTGGTTTATAGTGGGCAGGAAGTCAGGAAAGACAAAAAGAAGCCTCATCTCTACTAAATTTGCAGTGGAAGAAAAGATAAGTTGCTGTGACCTAGTAATGGTCTCTGAATTGTTTTTTCTATTGCCACTTCCAGCAGTGGAGCGTTACGATAACAATGGTCTTTGCACTAGGACTATTTTTCTGCTGTCATTAGCAGGAAGAGAGTGGCATAGTTCTTAAAGCTTGTCGGTCTCCCTCTGCAACCCTACTAATTAAACATTATGCAGTGGCTTCCCAGTTTTCAAGGAAAAAACACAGTCTGTCCTTTGTTCAGCTTGACAGGCAGCATGAATAAACTTCTGATTTCAGAGGCTGTGTTTGTGAGGATGCATTTTGATTCCAGGGCACAGGACTTCTTCTGCCCACACTGTGAACAAACTGGACTCAGGCCCGTTACTCCAGAGCTGGTGATACCATGTTATCCAGTGGTATTCAAAATAACTCCTGTCTCTTACCTGTTGTAAATAGCGTCTCTGTGAAAAAAAGTTCAGCTTCAGTTTTTTTTTAACAGAAGTGATACATCCTTCTTTGTTCTCTACTCCCATTTTGTTCTGCTCATTAAGAGATTTTATCATGGAACAGGCAGATTTTAAAGGTAATCAGGACATATTAAAAAGTGGAGAGACACCTAATATATATTTTTTATAGCAGTTATTACTTGAATGAGAAATCAGTAGCAGTTAAACACTTAGGATTGTATTTCTCTAACTACATGTGTAGATAGAGGCTACTTGTATACAGAATGTTTGGATTTAAGGAATTTTTAGTTTCTTGTTTGTGTTTTTTTTTTTTGTTTGTTTGTTTTTAAGGGAAGAGAGATGAAGTGCATTGGCCTGTAGAGTGAAATAAATGCTGTGAACAAAGAGGCTTGTACATAAAGTAGAATTAAGCAGGATAAGATTGCAGAACCCAAGGGAAAGATAAGCAATCCTGTAATTCCTCAGGAATACTCCTTGAACCTGTTATGGAAATAACTGGCTGAGACAGCAGTTTATAATTAGCCTGATAGATTTCATAGGTGGCTTGTAGATATGCAGGCATTCCACGTCTGTTATGTTGCCTGTGTTGACTGAACTCAGCCACACATGCATATATATATATATATATGTACTACAGAAGTCTGGTTACAGGCTAGGATGAGGTTTCAATTAAGCTTTTGCAAACTGAAATAATAGGATTGCTCTGTTAACTCTTTGCACACTAACTTCTCTGAGGATACTGTACTAATCTGCATGTCATCATTTGTTCACGAGGAATGGAGTGTTCTGAAGTTCTCACCCTTCCTCTAACACTGTTCTCATCCAAGTCAGTGCTCAATCTTCTGTTTGCAAATTTACTTGTTGATATAGTTCCAGCACAGTCTTCTCTCTCTAAGTTGCAAGCAATTATTTTCCTGTTTCCAAAACTGGTAGAAACATCAGCAACTATACATGGATGAAATGATTTTCAGAATTCACAGATGATTGATTGTCTTTTTAAAACTTGAAGATTAATGTCAATCACAACCACATTAGTTATAGATTTGCAGATTTATTGAACTGTTTGCCTTTTGATGCTGTGAGGCTTATCATTTGTGTGACATCTACCTATTACATGTGTTTTCTGTAGAGTAATTCTACAAGACTTGTAGAGACATGGTAGAGTAGAAAAATTCCCTCAAAATTATGTAATATTTTCTCTTTTTAAGTGAACAGTGAGATAGAACACATATAACAAAATGCAAAGATGTGAAGTTTTGGCAGAATTGAAAAACATGCTGCTTTTCCCCCCTCCGGCCTAAAAGTTGCACTTCATCCTCTGTTAATGGCTTATTTCATGCCTTGCTCTTTGTACAAACAACATTCAGAGTCCAAAATGAGCACATCAAAGTGCAGTGTAGTTGTATGCCAAGTAAAAAAAAAAAAAAGAAATGTAATGACTGGAAAATGTTTCACATTTATGGAGAAACTGAGACTTAACACATTTCCTGCAAGCCTCCATTGAATACAACTTTTTCCTGCAGTTAACATATGGGCATGCTGAACATTTTCAATCTTCAGAAAAATTAATTTTAAATCCTCTATCTGAAAGAACACAGTTAAATCTGTCTAGACCTACGAGGTTTGATTATACACATTTTTATTTGTGTGCTACAGGATGTACTTGAAGTTCATACAATTGCTTTCAATCCATGCCAGCAATGAGCCATCAGATCTATGTAACGTGCCTACCTCTATTCCTGAATACTGGAAAACATCTTCGAAAATACTGTTTACAACCCTACAAAAGATAATTTGCCTTTCTCCAAAGAAATGAGCAAAACATGGTTGTACATGCAATATTTTATTCCAGTGAAAAGGATATAGTTTAGCCCAGAGAGAATATTCTCATTTTCACAATTGATCAACAATTGGTCAGGTGTTTTGGGTAACTGAGGTAGGATACCACAGACTATCTGATGGAGGAAATATGTTTCTAAATTCTGGAAACAAAATACCTAGTTTCAAAATCTGCAGAATCTCAAATATTGATGCAAGCCATGGGTTACTCTCCCGCTTGTCTTCATGGTATATTTTTCAACAAATCAAGAAAATGGCTAGTGTCTGTTCAGTGCATCACACTCACTCTGTGTTGTCACAGAATAAAGTGTCTAACCATGCTGTAATTCACTATGGTTTTCCTTGGACCTTCATTTAATCTACAATTTTCCATAATGTTTCCCTACTCTGGTCCAGCTAAGAAACACAATGAAGTGAATATGTATTCTTTATATATACGTGGTTATTTCTGTGTCATTTTTACCACACCTGAGGACCACTTGTTCTTGTGGCTACCAGTTTTAGATGTTTAATATTTGCCTGTCATTTAATATCACTTAAGTTCTACTTCTTAGAATAAAACAATTCTCAGTGTTTTCTTGAGAACTGTCTCTCCCTTCTATCAGTACTTAATCTGACAATGACAAAAATGTCTCATTGTCTTTTCATTTCACAAAAATCTGTTCACAGAGTTCTGTCAGGCAGAAATCTGATCTCTATTTTCACATCCTCTGAGTGACCTAGAGTTTTCCTTCACAGCACTCCTGTCTTTAGAGTGTTCTGGTGAGATAATGTGGCGTGCACTTCTTCAAGACACAGAACTGTAGTCACAGCACGGTCACCTGCACCCCACTCTGTCACCAGATCACTTGCTTGCTCTTCTATCTAACTAGCATCCTCCACTTTTGAATTTTTAGTTCATTGTGTGTTTGTAAATGTAGAACCACTGCCAGAAGTCTGAAAGGGAGCCCAGGACAAAAGACTAGATGGCCTAGACAGATAAAGTCATTCACAGACATTCATTTGGAGATCTGATGGATGCTAACTTGAAACATCTTCTGTATTTTCATAGCAAATTAATGACAGCATCCATTATCCATTGCAGAAAAATCCTGTTGTGTTTTGATTTTTTTTGTTTTCTTTAGATGAAGTTTAATACATTTATTTAGCAGAAGTGTCTTAGAAAGTTGAAGATTTGTGATTAAAAATGTTTTTTTGCAGAATCTTACTGAAGAACATAGAGATGGCATTACAGTGAGATCTGGTGGCCTAGGTTTTCAGGAACTGTAGACTGGTTTCTTGCTGCGGTGTCCTAGTAAACTACATTAACTTATTTAGAACTTAGTGCTTATCTAGAACTGCTTTTAGGATAGGAGTTTCAATTCCCATAGTCAATATTTTTTCTGCTTTCTGTTATCCCCCACAGTCTAATCCTTGCTGCTGAACAGACAGAAGACTTGCATGTATTTGTACATGTATTCTGCAGGCAGATGAAAGCCTGTTGCACCCACTCTTCATTGTAGACAGGTACTTGCTTCCCCCTACACCAACTGATGTGCTTTCTGCAGCACTGAGCCAAGCAAATGTATGCAGCATTCACCTGCTCTGACAACTCAGGGACACAGTTTGCCTGCTGTGTGGGTAAACCTGAGTCAAACTCTGACCTTCCCATTTATTTATTTCGTGTCAGTGAAAAGCCATGTAGCCATCACTGCCTGTCTTAAGTATTCCTGAGAATGCAGGGTGTTGTTTTACCAAGAATGTCCCAACCTCAACTATCCTTTCCGACTGGGAGCGCGTAGTTTTCTTAACCTGATTTCCTTTGGAGCTGTGCCTTGTGCAATTG